GGCGATTAGCGATCCGGAGATTAGCGATCCGGAGATTAGCGATCCGGAGATTAGCGATTAGTGATCCGGCGATTAGCGATCCGGCGATTAGCGATCCGGCGATGAGTGATCTGGTGTAAGAGTGCGCACTCACTGGAAGCGCATTAGTGATCCGGCGATTAGCGATTAGTGATCCGTCATTTAGCGATCCGGCGATGTGTGATCCGGTGATTAGTGATCCGGTGATTAGCGATCCGGCGATTAGCGATCTGGCGATTAGCGATCCGGCGATTAGCGATCCGGAGATTAGCGATTAGTGATCCGGTGATTAGTGATCCGGAGATTAGCGATCCGGCGATTAGCGATCCGGCGATTAGCGATCTGGCGATTAGCGATCCGGCGATTAGCGATCCGGCGATTAGCGATCCGGAGATTAGCGATTAGTGATCCGGCGATTAGCGATCCGGCGATTAGCGATCCGGCGATGAGTGATCTGGTGTAAGAGTGCGCACTCACTGGAAGCGCATTAGTGATCCGGCGATTAGCGATTAGTGATCCGTAATTTAGCGATCCGGCGATGTGTGATCCGGTGATTAGTGATCCGGTGATTAGCGATCCGGCGATTAGCGATCCGGAGATTAGCGATCTGGCGATTAGCGATCCGGTGATTAGTGATCCGGAGATTAGCGATCCGGCGATTAGCGATCCGGCGATTAGCGATCTGGCGATTAGCGATCCGGCGATTAGCGATCCGGCGATTAGCGATCCGGAGATTAGCGATCCGGCGATTAGCGATGGCGGATCCCGGCGATTAGCGATCCGGGAGATTAGCGATCCGGCGATTAGCGATCCGGCGATTAGTGATCTGGCAATTAGCGATCCGGAGATTAGCGATTAGTGATCCGGTGATTAGTGATCCGGAGATTAGCGATCCGGAGATTAGCGATCCGTCATTTAGCGATCCGTCATTTAGCGATCCGGCGATGTGTGATCCGGTGATTAGCGATCCGGTGATTAGCGATCCGGCGATTAGAGATCCGGCGATTAGCGATCCGGTGATTAGTGATCCGGCGATTAGCGATCCGGTGATTACAGCGATCTGGTGATTAGCGATCCGGCGATTAGTGATCCGGCGATTAGCGATCCGGTGATTAGCGATCCGGTGATTAGCGATTTGTGATCCGGTGATTAGCGATCCGGCGATTAGCGATCTGGCTATTAGCGATCCGGCGATTAGCGATCTGGCGATTAGCGATCCGGAGATTAGCGATCCGGCGATTAGCGATCCGGAGATTAGCGATTAGTGATCCGGCGATTAGCGATCCGGAGATTAGCGATCCGGCGATTAGCGATCCTGGCGATTAGCGATCACGGAGCATTAGTGATCCGATGCGATTAGCGATTAGCGATCCGGCGATTAGCGATCCGGCGATTAGCGATTAGTGATCTGGTGATTAGCGATCCGGCGATTAGCGATTAGTGATCCTGGCGATTAGCGATCCGGAGATTAGCGATCCGGAGATTAGCGATTAGCGATCCGGCGATTAGCGATCCGGAGATTAGCGATCCGGCGATTAGCGATCCGATGAGCGATTAGCGATTAGTGATTCTGGCGATTAGCGATCCGGCGATTAGCGATTAGCGATCCGGAGATTAGCGATCCGGCGATTAGCGATCCGGGGAGATTAGCGATTAGCGATCCGGCGATGAGCGATTAGCGATCCGGCGATTAGCGATCCGGCGATTGAGTGATCCGGCGATTAGTATCCGGCGATTAGTGATCCGGCGATTGAGTGATCGCGAGGTGTACGATTAGTGCGCATTTAGCGATCCGGCGATTAGTGATCCGGTGATTAGCGATCCGGTGATTAGCGATTAGCGATCCGGCGATTAGCGATCCGCGATGAGTGATCTGGTGTAAGAGTGATCCACTCATTAACGGAGGCCGGATCAGATTAAGCGATCCGGCGATTCGATCCTTTAGGGATTAGCGGCGATTAGCGATCCGGAGATTAGCCCCTCCTCTAGCGATCTTAGTGATCCGGGAAGATCACTCAGGGGGCCCCTATAAGCGATCCGGAGATGCGTCACAGGCTCCTCCCCTCTCTGGTCCGGATTAGACGATCCGGGTCCTGGGATGGGGTTTAATTGCTCGTACAGAGCAGCTGGATTAGCAAGATCCGCCGGACCTCCGTGATCCGGCAGATTAGCGTGACGTCACAGAGTATTAGCTCCTCCCAGACGCGTTTCGTATCCACAGACGTCATCAGTAGGGGTGATTGCCAAGGTCTATGTTGGTGACGATGGGGGAGGAGAGTCCAGATCCCATCCAAGATGGCCGGAGTCTATGTGATCCGAGCTGGGGGGAGGTGATCATAGCCCTGGATCTGTGTGATTGATCCCATGCAGCATTCTGGGGGGGGTAGCGACCTAGAGGTGTGTGGCATGGCGTGCGGATCCCTACATTAGTGATCCGGGTGGGATTAGCGTGGAGCTGTACGGCATGGATCCGATTAGCGATCCGGTGATTAGCGATCCGGCGATTAGCGATCCGGTGATTTGCGATCCGGCGATTTGATTAGCGATCCGGAGATTAGCGATTAGTGATCTGGCGATTAGCGATCCGGCGATTAGCGATCCGGCGATTAGCGAGCGATTAGTGATCCGGCGATTAGCGATCCGGAGATTAGCGATCCGGCGATTAGCGATCCGGCGTTTAGCGATCCGGCGATGAGTGATCTGGTGTAAGAGTGCGCACTCAATGGAAGTGCATTAGTGATCCGGTGATTAGCGATCCGGTGATTAGTGATTAGCGATCCGCGAGATTGATCCGGCGATTTAGCGATCCGGCGATGAGTGATCTGGTGTAAGAGTGCGCACTCAAATGGAAGCGCATTAGTGATCCGGTGATTAGCGATCCGGTGATCCGTAGCGATTAGCGATCCGGCGATGTGTGATCCGGCGATGATTAGCGATCCGGTGATTAGCGATTAGTGATCCGGCGATTAGCGATCCGGCGATTAGCGATCCGGCGATGAGTGATCTGGTGTAAGAGTGCGCACTCACCGGAGGCGCATTGATCAGATAAGCGGAGGTCTCCTTTAGGGTTCGGCCTGGTGCCCCTCCTCTGTAGATCTGGGTGTTAGGGAAGTCACTCAGGGGGCCCCTATAACGGGGTGCTGTCACAGGCTCCTCCCCTCTCTGGTCCGGATAGATCACCTGGGGTCCTGGGATGGGGGTTTAATTGCTCAGTACAGAGCAGCTGGATTGGCAAGATGGCCGCCGGACCTCCGTGATGCAGCGGCGTGACGTCACAGAGTACAAGGGCTCCTCCCAGACGCGTTTCGTATCCACAGACGTCATCAGTAGGGGTGTTGCCAAGGTCTATGTTGGTGACGATGGGGGAGGAGAGTCCAGATCCCATCCAAGATGGCCGTCTATGTGTGCCGAGCTGGGGGGAGGTCTCATGGAGCCCTGGATCTGTGTGATGGCCATGCAGCATTCTGGGGGGTATACCTAGAGGTGTGCGCATGCTCTCTGCGGTCCCTACATGTGATGGGTGGGATGCGTGGAGCTGTACGGCATGCCGTGCGGTCCCTACATGTGATGGGTGGGATGCGTGGAGCTGTACGGCATGCCGTGCGGTCCCTACATGTGATGGGTGGGATACCTGGAGCTGTACGGCATGCCGTGTGGTTCCTACATGTGATGGGTGGGATACCTGGATGCTGTACGGCATGCCGTGTGGTTCCTACATGTGATGGGTGGGATACCTGGAGCTGTACGGCATGCCGTGTGGTTGCTACATGTGATGGGTGGATACCTGGAGCTGTACGGCATGCCGTGTGGTTCCTACATGTGATGGGTGGGATACCTGGAGCTGTACGCATGCCGTGTGGTTCCTACATGTGATGGGTGGGATGCCTGGAGCTGTACGGCATGCCGTGTGGTTCCTACATGTGATGGTGGGATACCTGGAGCTGTACGGCATGCCGTGTGGTCCCTACATGTGATGGGTGGGATACCTGGAGCTGTACGGCATGCCGTGTGGTCCCTACATGTGATGGGTGGGATACCTGGAGCTGTACGGCATGCCGTGTGGTTCCTACATGTGATGGGTGGATACCTGGAGCTGTACGGCATGCCGTGTGGTCCCTACATGTGATGGGTGGGATACCTGGAGCTGTACGGCATGCCGTGTGGTTCCTACATGTGATGGGTGGGATACCTGGAGCTGTACGGCATGCCGTGTGGTTCCTACATGTGATGGGTGGGATACCTGGAGCTGTAACGGCATGCCGTGTGGTTCCTACATGTGATGGGTGGGATACCTGGAGCTGTACGGCATGCCGTGTGCAGTTCCCTACATGTGATGGGTGGGATACCTGGAGCTGTACGGCATGCCGTGACCGACGGTTCCTACATGTGATGGGTGGGATACCTGGAGCTGTACGGCATGCCGTGCAGTCCCTACATGTGATGGGTGGGATACCTGGAGCTGGTATGCCGTGTGGTTCCTGGAGCTGTACGGCATGCGTGTGGTCCTACATGTGATGGGTGGCTGATGGACCTGTGAGCTGTACGGATGCTGTGTGGTCCTACATGTGATGGGTGTGGATACCTGGAGCTGTACGGCATGCCGTGTGGTTCCTACATGTGATGGGTGGGATACCTGGAGCTGTACGGCATGCCGTGCAGTCCCTACATGTGATGGGTGGGATACCTGGAGCTGTACGGCATGCCGTGCGGTTCCTACATGTGATGGGTGGGATACCTGGAGCTGTACGGCATGCCGTGTGGTTCCTACATGTGATGGGTGGGATACCTGGAGCTGTACGGCATGCCGTTGCAGTCCCTACATGTGATGGGTGGTGTAACAGAAGCGCAGGCAGGACAGAGCACACGGAGAAGATAGGGGAAACACACAAAACTTTATTGAAGCAACAAATTGACAGACACTCAATAGGGAAATGGCAGGGAGGGTGATGTGTGCGCAAACCAGGGATGATTCCAGGCTCGGGGGGGGGGGGTCTTCAGCGACAGGCAGGCAGTCTCCCCCCTAGGCTTGGGGCCTCAGCCGAGCTCCCTCCGTGACTGGACAGCGCGGATTGGAGACTCGGGCAACAGGCGGCAACCTACCATGGGGCAGGGGCCTCGGGCAACAGGCGGCAACCTACCACTGGGCAGGGGCCTCGGGGACTCAACGGGACTCTAGCCATGGAGTCTGGCCTCAGCACAGCTCCCACCCAGCTTTCTAGGGACATTGGGTTCACAGGGACTCAACAGGTAGTGATGGCTCAAGCACTCAGGGGCACCACAGGTAGCTATACTCCGGCATGCCATCAGGACACGGGTGGTCAGTGCACACAACAGGGACAGTACAGGACATGGGTGGTCAGTGCGCACGACGCGGGGACAGTACAGGACACGGGTGTTCAGTGCGCACAGCGGGGACAGTTCAGGACACGGGTGGTCAGTGCGCACAGCGGGGACAGTACAGGACACGGGTGGTCAGTGCGCACAGCGGGGACAGTACAGGACACGGGTGGTCAGTGCGCACAGCTGGGGACAGGACAACGGGTGGTCAGTGCGCACAGCGGGGACAGGACACGGGTGGGGTCAGTGCGCACAGCGGGGACAGGACACGGGTGGTCAGTGCGCACAGCGGGGACAGGACACGGGTGGTCAGGTGCGCACAGCGGGACAGGACACGGGTGGTCAGTGCGCACAAGCGGCTGGACAGGACACGGGTGGTCAGTGCGCACAGCGGGGACAGGACACGGGTGGTCAGTGCGCACAGCGGGGACAGGACACGAGGTGGTCAGTGCTGCAGCTAGCGGGGACAGGAACACGGGTGGTCATGTGCGCACAGCGGGACAGCGACACGGGTGGTCAGATGCGCACAACAGGCACAGTTCAGGATCACACGGTGGTCAGACTGCGCACATAAGAACGGGGACAGTTCAGGACAGACTGGGTGGTCAGTGCGCACAAATAAAACGGGGACAGTTCAGGACACGGTGGTCATAGCGCTGGGGGGGCCCCCCCCCCCCCCCCCCCCCCCCCCCCCCCCCCGAACAGTTGGGCACAAACGACACAGTACAGGACACGGGTGGTCAGGTGCGCACAACGGGACAGTTCAGTGACACGGGTGGTCAGTGCGCACAACGGGGACAGTTCAGGACACGGGTGGTCATGCGCACAACGGGGACAGTTTCAGACACAGGGTGGTCAGTGCGCACAACGGGGACAGTTCAGAACACGGGTGGTCAGTGCGCACAACGGGACAGTTCAGAACAAACGGGTGGGTCAGTGCGCACAACGGGGACAGTTCAGGACACGGGTGGTCAGTGCGCACAGCGGGGGACAGTACAGGGACACGGGTGGGTCAGTGCGCACATTTAAGCGGGGACAAGTACAGGACACGGGTGGTCAGTGCGCACAGCGGGGACAGTACAGGACACGGGTGGTCAGTGCGCACGAGCGGGGACAGTACACGACACACGGTGGGGTTTATTTTTATGTCAGTGCGCACAGCGGGGACAGTACAGGACACGGGTGGTCAGTGCGCCACAGCGGGGGACAGTTAACAGGACACGGGTGGTCCCGTGCGCACAAGTCGAGGGACAGAGTACAGGACACGGGTGGTCAGTGCGCACAGCGGGGACAGTACAGAGACACGGGTGGTCATGCGCACAGCGGGGACAGTACAGGACACGGTGGTCAGTGCGCACTAGCGGGGACAGAACAGCGGAACACGGGGTGGGTCCAGATGCGCACAGCAGGGACAGTAACAGGTACCCTGGTGGTCCAGGTGCGCACCATGCGGGGACAGTTCAGGACACCTACGGTGGTCAGTGCGCACATCGGGGACAGTTCAGGACACTGGTGGCCAGTGGCGCACAACAGGCACAGTTCAGGACAACCGGGAGAGGGCATGTGCGCACACAACGGGGACAGTTACACGGACCACGTGATGGTCAGTGCGCACACACGTGACCAGTTCAGAACAACGGGGTGGTCATTGCGCACTACAGGGACCGTTCAGCGACCACGGGTGGTCAGTGCGCACAACAGGGGACCGTCGTTCAGAACCACTGGGTGCTCCGGTGCGCATACAATCAGGGACCGTTTCAGAACTACGCCGTGGATCAGCTGCGCACAAACACGGGGACAGTTCATGAACACGGGGTGGTCAGTGGCGCGCCACCAACATGGGACCGTTCCAAGGACACGGGTGGTATCCAGTGCGCACGCAGCGGGGACAGTTCAGGACTCAGGTGGTCAGTGCGCACACAACGCGGCGGACAGTACAGGACACAGGTGGTCAGGTGCGCACAGCGGGACAGTAACAGGATACTCACAGTAAGCAGCTGGTAGACCCTCAGTGGCAGGCGGCTCCAGACAGGGACAACCAGCGGTCAGCAGACAGCAGCAGCTCCCAGGGCACTCAGCAGCAACAGCTCTCCCAGGGACACGCAGCCACGGACAGTGTGCAGGCTCCCTCAGCAGCAGCTCCCAGGACACTCAGCAGCAGACAGGGTGCAAGGGTGCTTCAGTAGACCGGCCGGCAGGGTCTCAGCTGTGGGGTCTGACCTTTGAGGAGAAGGCTCATGCAGAGCTGTGGACGACTCCCAACCCTTTGGGGTCTGCAGAGTGCGCAGCGGGGGATGTGGCTGGGAGGTTCGAGCGCACCTCCCCCTCACCCGAGCCTCCCAGCATCTTCTTTCTGGGAGCAAGATGGTTCCTGCCGCATGGCCAGGAACAGAGAGAGGCAGGGCAGCTTCCCTGTGTGGGTCTCTTGCAAGATCATAGTGGGGGACGCGGCTAGGTTGCCTCGGCAACGCGGCCGGCCCAGCCCCTGTCCATGGAAGCCCCACAGCCCTCGGCATGTACAACAAGGGGCGAAGGGAGGGGTGTGGAGGGATAATGGCGGGGACTGGAGAGGCAACTGGGTGGGATAATTTGGGAGCTGTACGGCGTGCCGTGCGGTCCCCCTACATCTGGATTGGGTGGGGATGCGTGGAGCTGAACGGCGTTCCGTGCGGCTCCCTAACATCTGATAGGTGGGATGCGTGGAGCCCTGTACGGCTGAGCTGCCGCGAGGATCCCTACAATGTGATGGGTGGGTAGAGACTGTGGGATGCTGTACGGCGTGCTCTGTGGTCCTGACCGTGATGGTGGGATGCGTGGAGCTGTAGCGGCCATGCTCTGCGGTCCCTACATGTGTGGGTGGGATTGGGGGTGGAT